CCATCCACCCACTCATCCACCCATCTACCCACCCATCCACCAATTCATCCACACATCCATTCATCCATCCACCCACCTGTACCCACCCACCCACTATCCACTCACCCACCCATCTGTCCATCCACCCTTCCACCCGCCCACCTATCCACCCCAGCCTGACCGTCCTCTGCCTGGCACCCACTGTCTCTAGCCCCGAGGTCCTCAGGGGCCCATAAATCTTTGATCTGGTCTCTGCCTTCTGTCCCCCACCCCTTCCTTCCCTCCTCTGATCCCCTGTCCCCCATTTCTGGTGTCTTCAGTCTCTGCCTCTCTGGCTACAGGAGAAGCCTTTGCAGGGCCTAGCACAGTGTCTCAGGGAGAACAGCAGCAGGCTCGCCCGCCCTGCTGAAGGCCTGCTTCTCCCAACTCCGTCCCCCGAGAACTTTGTCTGGGGTCCTGTTGTTGAACTAAAGCTGGCTCTGCTGGAGTTCCCACTAACAAGGGCTGTCCTAATGTCACTGGTGACACCCCAAAGAGCCCATCCAGGGCTCTCACACCCTGCCCCCAACACCGCAGCTTTTCACATCCTAGAGGAGCAGCCACAGCTCTTCTGAATGAGCCACACAGATAACGGGGCAGCCGCAGCCCACACAGCGAGGCCCTGCAGTCTGCAGCGTGTGCCCTGGGTGTGGGAAGGGGTCTTCCGGCTCCAGCTCCAGGACACCCTGAGGACGCTGCATGATGCTTGCTGTGGGTTGGCAGCGCTTCCCCTGCTGCTGTCAGAAGATGATTCTCAATTAACGCCGACCCTCCTATCACCTGGCCAGGCAGACAGCAGGAATGGAGAGCCACGGCCCAGCCATTTAAGAGCCGTACTAACTCGCTGGGCCGCACACGCCAGAAGGGGCTCATGAAAAATGTTAAATCCAAAATCGCCCATTGCTCCTAAATGTAGCCCTGCCAGGCCCGTGCTGCAGAGATGCCTGCGGGGAAAGTGGGTTACTAATGACCCTGCTTTGTACAGCTGGACACGTGCCGAGGTAAGTCAGGCCCCGGCCAGGGTACACCATGGGTGACATTCATCTTTTCTGGCACGAACCCTGCCGTTTACAGCCGCAGGTGATGCCGCACAGCACCTGACACTGCAGAGGGGCCGGAAGGATGGGTCGAGGCTGACTTGTTTCCCCATATTCCCGCCCCCCAGGTCCTGCTAAAGAAGGTCCACATGTAATCCCATCACTGGCAACACGGCTTCCGGGTAATGGAGGGAAGAACCCCATCTACACAGGAGGCTGTCCAGTGCGGTCCCTCCACCACCCCACCCACAGGGAGGCAGGCCTAGCTCTGAAAATGGCATGGGCAACGAGGATGCTTGCGACGAACCCCAAACCCTCTGCGTGGCTGCATCCGGACTGTTCTAACTGGTCACTGGGCTGCCTCTGGGTAGGAACTGCTCTAACTGGTCACTGGGCTGCCTCTGGGTAGGAACTGCTCTAACTGGTCACTGGGCTGCCTCTGGGTAGGAACTGTTCTAACTGGTCACTGGGCTGCCTCTGGGTAGGAACTGCTCGAGACAGAGCCTGAGAGACTTGCATGAGGGGACACGGCCTGCGCCCTGGACTGCGGACAGAGCTGGGCAAGGTGCCGCCAGGCTGTTTCAAAATTCTCAGAAGGGGGATGCTTGCTCTGTTTACAAGGGGTCCTTAAGATAAAACCATGTCCTGTGTTTGAAAGTGTGTGCGTTTTACAAATAGAAGTACTGTTGATGACCCCCACTGTGGCCGTGCTGACAATGGCGCTGGTCCCAGATGACCCCCTGACCCCCAGCGTGGCCACGCTGACGATGGCGCTGGGTGCTGTCCTGGGGACACACTCGCTTTCTCTAACAGAACGTCTCACCCTGTTCATCTGGAGTTGCTCACCAGATCGCACCCTCACCTTCCTGTTCCATAATATCCCTTCTCCCCTTTCTGTGCTTCTCCATTGGACTAGTCTATCTGCATTCAGAAATACAGATATTTCTCCTTCTTAAAGAGAGAGATCCTCAGCTGGGCATGGTGGCTCATGCCTATAATCCCAGCACTTTTGGGAGGCTGAGGCAGGCAGATCACCTGAGGTCAGGAGTTTGAGACCAGCCTGGCCAACAAGGTGAAACCTCATCTCTACTAAAAACACAAAAATAAGCCAGGCGTGATGGCGCATGCTTGTAATCCCAGCTACTCGGGAGACTGAGGCAGGAGAATGGCTTGAACCTGTGAGGCAGAGGTTGCAGTGAGCCAAGATTGTGCCATTGCACTGCAGCCTGGGCAACAGAGCAAGACTCCGTCTCCATAAAGAAAAAAAAAAAAAAGAAAAAAGAAAAAAGAAATCTCCTTGTGGTCATAGGCCCTGGGGGCTACTCCTCCTGTTCTGTTTCCTTTACACAACCCCTCCTGCTCCCATTTTCCTACCTCTCTCATCCCGTGCTGCTCCTGCCGTCCACGCTTCTCCTGCCGTCCACCAGCTGCCAGGGGCCTCCCCAGGGCCATCCACACCTCCATGCCCGTGTCCGTCTCCAGCTCGTTCTCCCCCACATCTGACGCCCCACCTGCAGCATTGAGGGTGCCTCAGTCCTCCAGGAAACCCCCACTTTGCTTGGCTCCTGGATACCCCATGTCCTGTGCCCTCCCACCCCCAGACTCCCCTGAAGGAGGATTCAGGGGAATCTTCGCCTTCTCTGAAGATTCCTCGCCCCAGGGCTCACCTAATGCCTTCTCTACGTGACTTTCCTGTGGTCTCCTGGGGGCCCTGCCATCCGCTCACCACTGAAGGACGCTTGTGTCGCTTCCAGCACTTGGTGATTACGCCTGGGTCGAAATACCTGTGTATAGATATTTACACAAACATAAGTTTTATTTTCTGGGGATGGTGTTGGCAAATAGTCCCCAGGCCACATCCATCCACCGCCTGCCTTTGTAACCTCATGGTGTGTGTCTGCAGGACAACCACAGAGAGGAACAGGGACAGGGACTGTGGCCCTCAAAGTCTAAAATGTTTACTTTTCAGATCCTTTCTAGAAAAGGATCCAGGGTAAAGACGTGAGTGCTGACTGGTGTGGTGAGCGTGTGTTTAACCCATGAGAAGCCAGCCACCCAGGTGCACAGTGGCCTCACCATTGCACACACACAACGCAAACACACCAGCGGCTGTGTGCCAATCAGAGGCAGTAAACCATCCTCCTCTGACTCCAAACTTCAGTCCTCATCTGTTCAGTGGCTTCCATCTCAAACAGGCAGGATCTCCAGTTCCCCACGGCTGGGCCTCCTGCCTCATTCCCACGCCAGCCCGCTGCCTCCCTACCTGATCCACTCACCCAGGCGCCACACCACCCCAACCCTGGGCCTTGGCTCACGCATCACCTTCTCAGAGAGCCTGGATCCCACAGCGCTCCCTGGCCCCTCCTCTGCACTCCTCTGTGGCATCTGTCCCCATGTCACCTGATGGCCCCCACAGGAGCACTCACTCCAGGGGAGCTGAGACTTGCCCTAATCACAGCTGTGGCGGCAGCAACTGCAGGATCTAGAAGTGTGGGTACACAGTAGGCACTCAATTTATGTTTGTTAAACAAACACACACAATTTCTTTCAAGTGACAGCAACTGAAGGCAGGACTGACATCAGATGCCACGCATTTCCCACACATGCAGGTTTTACCTGGAAGCAGAAATGTTGGAGGGTCTGCAACACACCTGTCTCTGCCCACACCCACTCCCCACCGCCCCCCTCAGCAGCGCACCCCTCCCGACACCCCCACCAGCGCGCCCCTCCCCACCGCCCCCCTCAGCAGCGCACCCCTCCCGACACCCCCACCAGCGCGCCCCTCCCCACCGCCCCCCTCAGCAGCGCACCCCTCCCCACGGGCCCCCGACCAGCGTGCTCCTTCCCATGGTCCCGCCCACCAGCGCAACCCTCCCCACGGCCCCACCCACCTACACACCCCTCCCTAGGGCCCCCATCTGCGGACCCCCCTCAGCACTTGTCCTCTCCCCCAGGACCCCACCTTTTCACCCTTCCCCTATGGCCTCCACTTGGCTGTGAACTCCCATCTATGAAAACAAAATCCAGGACGTGGCCCTCTGGGTGCACAGTGTCCTCAGCAGCACAGCACACGTGCCGGCGGGGGGCAGTGTCCTCAGCAGCACAGCACACGTGCCGGCGGGGGCGCTGCAGCAGGAACGTGTCCTCATTGCAGGTTGGGCGAGGCTTGTCCTAGAATTGTCAAGGCCCGGAGCTGACGGGCCTGGGAGCTCAGCCCGTCCTTCCCCATCATTACGGATGAGGTGACTGGGGCAGCAGAGCACAGAAGTGGCCCTGCAGGGACACCTGGCCAGGTGGAGGCTTACGGGAGTCGAGCCCAGAGTCCAGGGCCCGGGTGGCTTCTCCCGTGGGAACACCAGATGCACAGGACAGACCCCGCACAGCCAAGGGAACCACGAACCGAGGCTGCACGGACAGTGTTTGAGGATTCCTAAGGAGAGGCACTGATGAGTGTAGGGGCCTGTGAGCGTGGGGTCCCCGACAACTGAGACGTGGGAGCCCAACGCCAAGCTCCCCGGTGAGGGAGGACGGCACCTCCAAGGCCACCAGCCAAGGTGGGCAGGACAGAGCACAGGACAGGCTGCAGAGACCAGGAGAGGCCCAGGACGGGCAGAGCCTGTGTCTACAGCAGTGAAAATGCATCACACCAGTTCAGCCCAGGGCGCGAGCCGGGCGCCCACCACTGCCGCAGCCAGCGGGAGTTCCATGGCCCCCGGGAGTTCCATCCTAGGGCGGCGTGAAGAGCACACGTCTGTCCATCTGCATTTTTCCTGGGTCAGGAAAGAGAAAATGGACAAAGACCCAGGAGATGCAGTCACAGGGCAGAGCTCCTGAAAGAATGAGCCGAGCATCTGTGCAGCGTGGATTTATTTTATTTCACTGTTTACTCTGAAGAGAAAGAAGAGCTACTATTGCAGGAACATTTTTTTAAAAAGTGAAACTCCTAACACCCTTAAAACAGAAAACGTTGTTATTCACATAACAATGTGGGGCTCCGTCTCTGCCGACAGGGGCTGGGTTCGGGCGTCAGCTGTGCCGTCCACAACAGCTCCATTCACCCCATTCATAAACGCTGCTGCTAGAGGAAGGGGACAGCGGCTCTCCCAGAGAGGGAGCACCTGGAAAATGAGTCACCGCCAAAGAGCTGTGACTGTTTGAGAACCTGCCAAGAGCATAACCCCCAATGGAACCTGGATAACTCAGGCCCGGGAGTCACAGCAGGATGTGGTACTTCAGGGCCCTGGGCACCCTGTTGATCACGAGCCTCCCGTCATAGCTCAGGGAGGCAAACAGCCACGGGTCGGCCGAGGACCAGTCCACAGCGTAGACGCTGTCCTCGTGCTCCTCGTAGGTGGCGATGACGTTGTCCTGCAGGGGCTCCTTGCTCCTGCAATGCAACAGAGACGGCCGTGAGCTCGGCAGCTCCGGTGGGCCAGCCAGGAGAGGCGCAGGGAGGACGCGAGCACTGCCATCAGGAGACACGAGAGGTCCCGGGGCCTCAGCTTTCTCCGCTGTGGGATGGGAAGAATTAGAGGAGCCCACGCTAAGGACAGTGGGGTGGTCCCTGCAGAAGCCAGAAACCCTCACTGTCGCCGTGAGGAGCAGGCGTTTCTCAAAAGGTTTATGGAAATCGGCGACATTGGCACGTGGTATCTTGGTTGCTTCTGTCCTTGGCCCACGGGTGCCTGGGGTGATATTCTGTCGGAGGTCTTCCTAGGGCTTCCTTTGCTCAGGGGAAAGATTGGGGGAAGCAGTCACCGTGTCTGGATAACACAGGATGTAAAAACCCCTGTTGCTTGAGCAGAAAGGACCCTGGGAAGCAGCTGGTCCAGCTCCTGGCTGTGCAGGACTCAGAGGCTGGGGCCGGAGGGGCCGTGCTAGGATGGGAGTGGGGCTGGACTAAGGATCTCCCCCCATAACACCAAGAGGAAGATGACCCTAGCCCAGTGGGAACAGCAGGGGTGTGACCTGCCTGGCCTCACCCAGGAAGTTTTCCCACCTCGCCTCCCTTGACTGAGTTACCCTCACTGGGAGCCCTGGCCAGGGGATCCTCACACAAGAGCCACCACTTCCTCAGCATACGGCGTGCGCGTGGGGAGGGGCCCTGCCTGGCTCACGGTGGCCACTTTCCGGCGGACACAGGCTTCTCTGGCACTTTCCTTCCCATTTCACAAAAAAATTCCCACTTAATTTGTGTACCGCATTCGAACTGCTTTTGCATTTCTTTGTAGGAAAATGCTTCGCCCCCCCCCAGTAACACGGACGGACCCTCCAGAACTCGCACGGTCTCTGGGAAGTTGGCTTCCCACAAAGTGGACCTGCCAGTGGCCAACTGCTGTTGTGTGACAAATGCCAGGTACAAACCCTCAGGGGGAATAATGGTTTCCTGAGTGCAGCAGGACATCAGGACTGAGGGGTGTCCTAAGACGTCTGTGTAGCCCTGATCACCTCCTTCCTTCCTGCCTTGCTCCCATGACACTGCCGCCCGGAGGACAACTCCAGCAGTCTTCTGACCAACGGGCCCATCGGGCTCCTTCCCTAACAGGGACAGACACGGTGAGCAAGTGCAGACTCCCCGGGCCACTGGCAGAGAGGATGGTAAAGGAAGCCAGGCCCAAAGGCACCAGGAGACCACTGGGCACACTCCACCGTGCGTGTGCTTAAATACTATTCTACGGCGGACTGAGTTTCTAAGGATCGAACAGAAAAACAACAGAGTCTGGCTCACGCCTGTAATCCTAGCACTTTGGAAGGTTGAAGTGGGCAGATCGCTTGAGCTCAGGAGTTTGAGACCAGCTTGGGCAACATGGCAAAACTCTCTCTATAAAAAATTAGCCAGACATGGTGCCGTGCACCTGTTGTCCCAGCTAATTGGGAGGCTGAGGTAAGAGGATCACCTGAGCCCAGGAGTTCAAGGCTGCAGTGAGCCATGATCGTGCCACTGCACACCAGCTTGGGTGACGGAGTGAGACCCTGTCTCAAAAACAAAACAAAGCCAGTAAAGTCAAGAGACAAACAGATGGGGCCATCGCCACTGCAGAAAAGAGTCTGAAGACAGAGGTCTTCTCACAGAGGAATTTGAGACCAAGTTCAGGTGGGTAGGGGCAGAATTCAGACAAAAAAGACTGCAAAGGATCCCAAAACAGAGTGACAGACCCCACCATATTTCAGGGCTCTAACTGTCCAACTTCACAGGGTTTTATTCCAGAACCTCCTTCCTCTGCAACCTGGGGCATGAATCTCTGCGGTTGCATCTGAGTCGCACCCAGTCAGCCCCCAGGAAGCAGCTGCCACTTGTGAAGGTGGGCCACTGAAGGACACAGGGGCCCTGGCACTGCACCGCTGACCAGATGCGGGCATGAAGAGGGTGCCCTTAGCAATCTCCCATCTCACCTAGGATCGGAAATCAAAGTGCACCAGAAAAAGCTTTGGGAAAATCCAGAACAATGAGGGTATGACTAGAAAACACACATCACGGTTGACCACATTTTGTAGAGTATCTAGAAGCGAAGTAGGACCTGCGTTTGAACTGGGAAGGTTGGCCTGGAGTCTCAGCCCTGCGACCAGTCAGTGGAAGGCCCATGAGCTGATGGCCAACAACCTGACCCCAACACGCTCAAATCCACGCCAGTGAAGACGCTGATTGGGATGCGTCTCTTACAGGGAGTGCTGTGAGGATTGGGATATATTCGTTCTCATTATTGTTCATGCTCAAGTTTGAAGACCAGTGACAGTCTTTTAAATCTTACAGATTTAAAATATTATTATTCTTATTGCATTCAATAAGAATACAAACACAAACACAGAGAGATCTATTTTAAAACCGCACCTAACCCCAACCCACCTGCAGTGCCTCCCATCTGGGCTGCTAATGACGGCACCCCTGGAACTGTGGGTCCCCACAGCTGCAGGGGGGAAGGACAGTGTCCCCCAGACGCACACCTGTAAACTTTCTGTCTACACCGCCTGGCTCGGGAGATGGCTGTGGGGAAAGGAGGCACTGGTACGGTGTGAGCCGCTTTGCAGTGCATGCCCTTACTTCTCTTCGGAACGGTGGTCCTCCTGGTCACTGATGTCATCGTCGTCTACCAAGTGGCCGAAGGGCTCCGACGAGATGGACACCATGTTGGAAAGGATGACTCTGCTGTCACTGCTGCCAGTGAGGACCAGCTGGTCGTGAGAGTGGTTGTAGCGGACGTTCCACACCCTGCAGAAGGCAAAGCAGCTACTGAAATGACCCGTCACCCGCAGCGACACCAACAACACGCCACACCGGCTCTGAGGGCCCCACTAGGCTGGGGCTCACGTTAGACACTGCCAGGCAATCAGCCCCAATCCCAGGGCCTGACAGAAGGCAGTCTTCCGCTGAGGGTGGGTTTGCTGTAGGTTTCTCTTGAGTCCCAACAGACAGACAGGGAAGACTAAATGTTGGCTGAAAACTGCAGGAGGAGAAGGCTTATCACTCAATATTTCAGACAAGCTTTCTAAAATTCGAAAACAAAAAAACAAAAAAAAAACTGCCCCAGAAGCAACATGTGGATTAGCAATATCCTATAATATCAAACAAGCCTCACAGCGATATCCTGGAATATAACAAGCCTCACGGCATGTTCCCAGTTGGCAGTGACTGTGGGTCCTGAGACTAGGGCATGGCGGCCTCCTGGGGCACAAGGGCTGTCCTTGGTTTTGGCTACTGGGATCAGCTTTCTTTCTGGCACGGGTCCTAGAGCCTGGGAGCTTCTGCCTCCCAGTCATGCTGAGGCCAAAACAAGCTCCAGGGCCCGGGTGGCAGACAGTGCTGGGCCCTTGACACTAGGAGGTGCACCCAGCATGGCCAGGGGCACAGGGAGGCCCAGCCACTCAGACCACAGGAAATTCCAGCAAGTCACTGAATTTATCAAAACTGTGTACTAGTAATCCAGGCTTTTTACTTTCTGATTGCAAAAACAATATAGCTTCAGATAAGTAATTCAAACAATTCAGAGATGCAGGGAATGCCCCTCTTTGACTGGGGGAGGATTCCTGAGGAGCTTTTGGCTCTTACTCTTTCAGACATTTCCTCTGCATACCTCTGTCACTCACACTTGTGTACACCCCTGCGTGTGCACACACGTTTTATTTGCATAAAAATGGATTCATGCTGTACATGCCACTGTACAACTTGATCTTTTTACTTAGCAAAAAGTACTAGGCACATTTAAAAACATTCAAATAATATGTTAGGGAGAATGAGTGACCTCGGACATCTTCCCAAAGCCACACAGAGACGCTCCACATTCTCCTGACAGCTGCCTCATCTCCGCTGCATGGATGTCACCTAATTTACTTAACCAGTCCCCTAGTGATGGACATTTGGGTGGTTTCCAGGTTTCCGGCATTACAAACAATGCTGTGTGAACATCTGTGCACATTTATTTTTACATACTTGAACCAGCACTGTTTCAAGAGAAAACAGAATTTAATGTTTTTCTTCTTTTCCTATGTTTATAAATCACAAACATTCAGATTTGGAATTAGTGTTTCTTTAGGAAAAATAAAACTGGGTGATTGAATGATGCACAGCAGCACAAACGAAGCTGGTTTGTGTCTTTCCCAATGGCAAAGTAATTAGCAAAATCAATTGCATGATCCCCTCTTTCCTGAAGCAGCCAGGAGCGGCCCTACCAGTGGGAGTGCTCCTCCAGGGTCTTCACGGGTTCGGTGACGTTTCGGGTGTCCCAGAACTTCACCTTACAGTCGTCTCCGCAGCTGGCCAAGTAGTACTGCTTGTTGGGATTGAAGTCAAGATCCCGCACCAGCTGTCCGTGGGCATTCTCTATGCAATAGATCTGGCTGAGGGAGAAGGAAGAACAGTATAGAAAAATAGCAAACGGATTATGCAAAGCCACTGAGTGCTGCAGGCACGACTGGTTTCCCGGGACCCTGTCGAATCCCCCGGCCCAGGGTGCTCTCGTCTCCTCGGCGTTCCTGCCCTGCAGGAGGAGGCTGGCACCAGCGCCTCCATCCCAGCAACCCTGTGCGGTCGCACCACGCTCAGCTCTCCAGGAGCTTATCTGTGACCCTCCGGGCGAGCCATGGAAGGGATTTTGCTTTGCAGCCGTTAAAAATGTGACTTAGTATCTTGAGAATGAGAGCATGCCAGAGGGGCTGCAGCCGCCACGGGGACGCTGAGGCAGACGTCTGGACAGGATGCCCGACACATTTCTGGAAGGATGTAGTGAAGAAGGAAAAGAAAAAGACAGAGAATGAAGGTAGAATATAGTGTTGGGAAATTTTATATATATATATACACATATATATGTATGTATACACACACAAAAATATCTATCTATATACAGATCTATATATATACAGAAAGAGAGAGAGAAAGTGGGGAGCAATGGGGAAGGCCATGGAAGCAGGAAGGGACCAGCTATCTATCTATCTATAGATATATATAGAGAGAGAGAGAGAGAGAGAAAGGGAGGAGCAGTGGGGAAGGCCATGGAAGCCGGAAGGGCCGTGTCAGCTGGGCTTACCCTTCCACTGTCCACACCAGCTCCAGGTCCAACACTGCTGGTGGCCAGTGCAACCCACTTGCTCCAGGGCAGGAGAAGGGGACTCTTTGAAATGAGTCACACGGCTGTTCACAGCACATGCGTTCTCACACTCACATGTGCATCTGTGGGCACACCCACATATGTATGTACACACACACGCACACATCCACACATGAGAGGGCAGACATGCACACCCGCACTCACACACCTCACTTTGCCCTGGATCCTATGGTCCTTGGCTGCTCCTCGCAGGGTCTGAAGTCATAATATCCTGCCTATGGCCTCTGATGTCATGAATCCCAGAGGACAGGTCATCCGGTGAGGCTGGACAGTGGCTTGAAACAAAAGGTTGCAACTGGGAAAGCAAAGAACCCATGGCCTGAAGCTGCCCAGCGGCTCCCGCCTGCACGGCCTCCCCAGCACTGCCGTGGGCGGGACTGAAATCACTCCTGCATTGTTTACCTTCCTCACCCGCAGGCTTCAGTGGGGCTGATGAGCAATGGGGAACTTCTGTGCCTTGTAATTTGCTTCACTTATCTGAAGACCATCATTGTTCTCTGCTCTCCAAGGCAGAGGAACTCAATTCCTTTCATCTTTTTTCTCTCACATTAGAACTCCCAGCCCTAAACCACTTTTAAATCTTCTGGTTTTTATATCCTGCACCTTTTCAATATCTTAATATTTCTTCCCTAAAATATGATACCTAAACCTTTAAATCTTTCAAGGGAAACAGGCAAAGGTAGAAAATTACAAGCTTGGCAGATTCCCAGGGAACTGGATGGACAGTCGCACGGGCACGACATATTAACTAAAGGTTACTGCATGCTCCATTGCCAGTAACTGTCACACAAAAGCATCACACCACCTAAAAAAGCACCAAAGGCATCCCGGCTCCATGCAAACCAAAGCTGTCTGCAAAAGGAGAAATGACAGTCAGTGAGAAGGCGCCAGGACCCTCTGGGCTGCGCTGGCACGTCCTCACCACAGACACAACACGGGCAAAATGAGGCCACTGCCAGATGTCGCCCATCAAAGCCACGGGCATCTTTTTGTTTGCTTATTTGTTTGGTCTGTAACGTCAGTCTTTGAGTTTCTTGTCTTCAGATACTGAAATTCTTCATATCCTTCAAAGAACCATGCAGACGAAGGACATGATGACCACAGGACATGGAGAAATGGATTTCAGCAGGATGTTCATCACGGGCTGAGTCTGTGGTTTCCAGCTTCTGATCAGGAAACCAAACGAGCCCTCTGCACAGACATGCACAAGGGAGGAAGTGGCGACTGATTCTTCATTAGCCCCTGAGTTTTCAGAGGGGCCTTGGAACTAAATCTAAAGTTGTGCCCCCACCCTGGAATCAACACGAGTTACTGCATGACATCCGTCTTTTCAGCTCGGTGATAAATTATGGTGTGCTGAGGGGATAAACTGTATCTTAAAAAAGCTTGTGTGGGCTTCCGTTGCCACGGCAACAGACGTGCTACCATCACTCCTTTGCCTATCAAAATCACAACTGGAACGGAAAACTCGCTCTTATTTGTTCCATTAGAGCTGCTGGCTGTTGGGTATAATTACTTAAATGACAAACTATGATTGCCCTATATAGGTGTGTCTCCAGAAGGCACAGCTACGGTCAAGGACGACCCCAGGAGAGACTTAACCTGGGGACTGCAGCTGTCAGCCTGCAGCGGCTCATCAGAGAAGGGCACCCTGTGGTCCCCATCTCGCTCAGTGTTACAAAAGCCCCAATTCCTAGTTTTCATCATCAACTGCTGTTAACGCAGGGATATCAACACGGAACATTCAACAGCCACCGAGGTGCACCGGTTCCACGGCAGTGGATGTGCTCGCTTAATCTGGGGTGAAGAAACAAGATGAAGATTTATGATTTCCTGCAAGAACGAGATGGAGACAAACCAACCATGCGCCCCCAAATGCATCTGGCTCACGATCAGCTCCACCGTCATCCCGGTTCTGCTCGCTAAGGGAGGAGAGGAAGCGGGGCCCACGCGTGGTGGGCTCACTGACCTCATGCTCCGGGTGTCCCAGCCACGGAGGGTGGTGTCGTTCGCTGTGGCCACCTGGGTGCAGTTGTGATGCGGACTCCACCGTCCCGAGGTGAACTTCAGTTGTCCCTTCCCTTCCAGGGAGGCTGAGCTGGCCAGCTGGGAGTGTCATGATGTTTTCCAAAGGAACAAGAAAAGCAGAAGAATGTGAGGTCTGTTCAGAAAATGCAAGAGGATATCCTATATTCAAGGACATTACGGAAAATAATTACTGAGAATAATTAGGAAGCTCTGTCTTTGTTTCCTTTCCTTAAATGGCAAAAATGAACCTTACTTGGGAAAATCTATAAAACTGAGCAGAGCAAAAAATAGAAAGCATATTAATAGGCCTCTATTAAAGAGCACTCGCTTGCAAGTATGTGATTAGAGATAATCAACTCCAACACTCCAACTTCAAGGAAAACAATATAAAATAACTCAAACATCTGGCTCTCCCTAAAGAAAGAGACAAAACAAGTCAGGTCCACCTGACCGGTTCTGGAATAACAAAGGGACAAACACATTTCGGTCCCTCCGATGCTGTCTTCAGTGCACAGCCTCTTCCCTCCCTTCGTCTCGAGGCCCACATGGCCTTCACCTGGCGTTTAATCAGACCGCCCCAAGCCAGTGAGCTGACCACGAAGACCTCAGCAAGGCCTTCTGGGGCTGGTGTTAGGGCTAAAACCTCCTCCTGCCTAAAAGAGGGTGGGCCCAGTTATGAGCCTGGGAGAAGATCCCCAGCTCTTTTCTCTGCCTGCCAGGGATTTCATGCACAAAGGCTGTGCGTGTTGGCTGCGTCGTTATTTCAATTTGGGGTTTGAATTTCAATGCAAAGGACGACTGCTAAAGGCAAGAAGGGTCCAGGTCTACCCCAGGATCCTCTGTCACACCTGCCCCCAAGTCCTCCTGAGGGACACAGTTCCCACCACTAATTCTGTTAACTTTCAAACCAGCTGTGCTCTTCAGAGCCCTCTGAGAGGAGCCTGGGGCAGGTGGCTGGTGAAGTGGGCCTGGCCGGGCCGAGGGCAGGTCCAAATGGAGCTGCTAGACAGGCCGTGAGAGGCCCAAGGACCGAGCTGGTGCTGGGGTTTATTCACCATCTCACGAGATTTACCAAGGGGCTTTGCTGGGCAGGGGCAGGGTGGGCACCCAGGCTTGGGGTGAACAAGGCCTGGAGGTCCCTACAGAGTGAGTGCCCGCTGCATAGACAGGAAGGGGCTCTGCCTGGAAACCACCACTCAGAACAGAAAGACAGGCAGTTCCCAGTGAGAAACAGGGCACGTCTAAGCCACGGGTAAAGGGCTTTCCGGAAAGAGCACACCGGCTGCAGATGCTCCTTGTGTCTCCCAGCAAGAGGCCTCCCAACTTCAGAGGTGGCCACTGGAAGGCGTGAGCTCCAAGACCTGGTGTCCCCCCTGTCCTGTGCAAACAGGCTGTGGGAGAGACTGAGAACTCAAAACAGTCCTGGTCAGAAGCCGAGAAGGACCCTTATCAGTAAGAGATGAGACGCTGCGCTCAGTCAGGGAGAGAGGCCACACCTTCATCTCCCACTCCTAAAGCCGGCTCTGATGCTTAGGAAAAGTTTCTGGCAACTGAAAGCCACCATCCTTGCAAAGCCTTGTGGTGAGAAGAGGTCAAGAGAAGGTGGGGACACAAGAGACCCATTGGGGGGACAGGGTACCCATGACTCCACATCTGGGCAGAAGTGAGGAGGTTGTGTCTGCATCTGGGCAGCCACAGGGGGTGTGTCCACATCTGGGCAGCCACAGGGGGTGTGTCCACATCTGGGCAGCCACAGGGGGTGTGTCCACATCTGGG